TTTTATAGTAAGATTTCGAGATAGTCGATACATTCGTTAAACATATATAATAAATTTAAATAATAAATTTTGTAATTGAGTAAATAGGAACGAATGATAATCTCTCTCGTATGAGTATCACATAATTTTATTTTATATTTTATATTTGAGTTTCTCTTTTATATTGTGAACATAAACGGAATCGAAAGTAATTTATATATATATATATATATATATATATATATATATATACATATATATATAAAATAGTATAGATGAATAATATTTTTTACAACGATTCGTCTAATCCAATAGTGCGCCGAGTCATCGGCTTTAATTTGATTGTTGGGTACATATATACATACAACATATATACACATATATGATCGCAAACCACGAACAAGAGGCTTGTATATAATCCCCTTTCGGTTAATGACAAAACCCTATGCGGCATTAATCCTGAACGTTTAATTATAATCGAAATTACCATGAAAACAGGCGTGGATTTTAATACGATTGGAGGTCAGTCGGTCGATTGGCTCTACCATAACGTATTAAAGACATTTTTTTATATCAAATTGTTACTTTGAGAAATTATACTATTCGTGAATGTGCTGTTTGGTATGTTTTTTTTTCTTTTTTTTTTTTTTTTAATAATTCTTCAAAGAATCATCAACGTAGTCGTAACAATTTATAACATTCAATCATCATAAAAATATTAATTGTGAAAAGGGAAGAAACAAAAAAAAAAGAAATGGGAAAAAGATCGTGTGAGGTAGCGTGGACGATTCGTGACGTAATTGCGCGGAAGTAGTACAAGTCAATTTCGTATCAGACAATTAACAGTCACCGCCATCAAAATGCATTAACCACACGTATCTCTCTCTCTCTCTCTCTCTCTCTCTCTCTCTCTATATATATATATATATATATAACACATATTCGATCGAATATGTGTCGTGTTTCTTTGAATACTTTTTTTTACTCCTTTTTTATTCTCATTTTTATATTATATTTTGTTGAATCGATCGATGATCACGACGACGACGAGTCTACGGGTAAGTATATTTCTCAACGTGAGGAATCCTTCGTCATTGAAAATTCTCGATAAGAGAGTTTAGAAATAACGTCGAGACGTACTAGTAGTTGTGATGGTGATGGTGTTCGTGGTGTTAGCTTTAGTGTTAATAGTAATGGCAGTGATGTTTGTGGTTGTGCGACAACGATGACAACGACACGACGACGACAACGACGACGGCGACGATGACGGCGACGGCGACAACGGCGACGGTAGCGTCAGTGGTTCGTCGTCATGGCAACGTTTTTCCGCAACGTACCCGGCCTGATTCGTGACGTCATGCGACGTCGGCGTCGGCATCGAGCCGCCGCCGCGCCACTCGACAGAGTGGCTCGACAGAGATAAAGAGAGTGAGAGAGAGAGAGAGAAGATAGGAATAGATTTTCTTTACCGGTGGCTTCCGGTGGAGCCACTGTACGTTCTGCTTTTCATCAAGATGGCGGATAGGTCACACACGGGAATATGTTTCGATAAATTGTAATGCAATACGTTACGAAAAATTTTCGTCGTTTTATCTTGACAAAATATACACGTGAAAATTTCACTTCGTGAAACGTCTTGTTCTAATACGTAATAACATCACCATTTTGAAATTCATTTAAAATTATTTTATCTTTTTCGCGATCGTTAACCTCAGTAATAGCTTATAAATAACTTAACGATTAATTGCGAACTCTTCGTTCGCGAAATTTTATTTTCATGAAATTTTTATTCTCATAAAATTTATCGAGATTTAATACGTACGCCTTGACGCGGTATATCGATCGTCCACATTGAAACTGGCAAACGTTTAAAAGCATTACCCTATAAAATATTTTCTAAAGACGTTAAGAGGAGTATATATGAGTATATATGAGTATATATGAGTATATATATATACATATGTACATATATACATATATACATATATACATATATACATATATACATATATATGAGTGTATGTGTATATGTAGATTTATCTGTATATATTCACATATAAAACTATCTTATAGGTATTATCTTTGAGGCATAACTTCCCTTACATTTTTCATTCTTTTCTTCGTGTGCGTACCAAAATTCTTTAGGTCGATTTCCCTTAAGAACTTCGAACTTCTTTAAAGTCATATATATATATGTAACCAACGTTCGATCGTAAATGCGTTGCTCTCTCACTCGCTCGACAAGCGACCTCCTTTTTCCGTCGCAACGTATATACATGCATATATATACGTGTATGTATGCATGCATACATACATACATACATACATACGATTCTCTTACAACTCTTTCTTTTTCTTTTTTTATTATTTTATTTTATTTCCTTCTACTAAAACGTTTCCTATTCTTCGATAGATCGTCAATAAAACAAATAAAAAAGAAATAAAAAAATATAGAAAGGAAAATTAAAGAAAGATAAAATATATGAAATCAAATATAAAGGGAAAAAACAATAAGAAGAGAGAGAGAGAGAGAGAGAGAGAGAGAGAGAGAGAGAGAGAGAAAGAGAAAGAGAAAGAGAAAGAGAAAGAAAAAAATAGTAGATTGATAAAGCTCTTTGGAGAAATACACAGGATGTATCAAAAGTTCCTAGCTGATATTAAAAATCAAGTTACTCTTTTTCGAATATTTTCAGACTGATTTCTTTTTTTTTTCCTCTTCAGATTGCGAAACCACAAGACTAGCTTGTCAGTTTGTAAAACTACAAACCTAAGTACAATTCTAAAAAGTCTTGGAAAGAATTAATTTGTAAAATCATTTAGGAAGTTTTGGTCCACCTAAGAATTTTTGATCCAGCCTGTATTTCTACGATGATGATGACGACGACGATGACGACGACGACGACAACGGCGACGATGATCCCTGGGCGAAAGGGTACTCGTGCCGTGTCTTTCTTTCGCTAGGAGTATGTCACTCTAATTGGATTACTAATCAAATTAAAAGGCGTCCAGAGTCGTGGATAGTAGGAAGAGAAAGACGATGAGGAGGCTGATGTTAGTATTGGTGGTAGTGGAAGAAGCGAGGACGGGGGACTGGGGTGGGATAAATTGAAGATGAGAGACGTGTGGGGATATAATTTCACGATAGTTTACGACTCGGTCGTGTTCGTAACCGATCGTGTATTTTCGTTTTCAGTCGATTCAATGATATCGAAGGGAAACTTCATCTTATGTTTTTTCCTTTTTTTTTTATTTTTTTTTCATTTCCATACATTTTCTTTTTTTTCTTCTTTCTTTCTTTTTTTAACGGTGTTACATAGATGGATTCGTGTCGTTGAGGGATTCTCTCTTGGCGCCGCGACGCCGCCATTACCAACGACGACGACGACGACGACGACGATGCCGATGCATAAGCGTGTGACCGAGTTCCGCCGGAATATGATCGACCGCGCGAAACTCGGTCAAAGACCACCGACACCTTACCTCCGCTCATGTTCGAGACTTTCCACCATTATTTTCTTTCCAATATTTCGTTTTAATTTTATGATAAAAAAAAAAAAAATGAGGTAAGAATTAAAGGAATATTAATTTGTTTTAATTTTTTTCAAAGGAGAGAAAAAATGGAGAAAAAGCAAAAGGAGGATAGAATGAAATGAAGAATTTGTTTATTTTTCTTTCTTTCTTTTCTTTTCTTTTTCTTAAAAGTATTAATTGAATCATTGTAGTCGAAAGTGTGGACGTGATAAATCGAGAAAAAAAGATTTCTTATAAATTTTTTTTCTTTGCTGTTCGAAAGATTATACCGATCAGGTCGTAACTGTATTATGTTTTTTCTCTTTTTCTTTCTCTCTTTCTTTTTTTTCTTTCTCATTGTTAGATCCATCAAAACGTTTAGAGAGATACGTTAGAACGTGTTTGACGATTCACCTGTAATAGACGGTCTAGTGTGGACAGTCGATTCTATGTTAACGTGGTGTACCAGTTCGTCGTGCCCAAGTGGGTCGCCTGAATGCACAAGGTCGTGGAGTTTTTAATCTAGAACAGCTTGCGCTCTACGTAGAAAATAAGTTACACGAATGCGACAGTGTAAAAGTAGATAGTTAGATCGTTGATTAACATCGATCGAAATACATTTCGATCTTATTTTCTCGATGAGTTATTTGTCGTCAACGAGAAAAAAAAAGAAAAAAAAAAAGGAAAAGAAAAACCAATGAATTATTTTGAATTAATTATACTTTTTTTCAAATCCTAGAAACTCGTATCGTAAACAAAAAAATTATGTTTATCGCAAAAAAGTGGATTATCCGATTAAGCTACCTTTGCCATTAAAACATGAACGATCGAGATTCTACTGTATTGCTTGCTTGGTAAACATGGGAACGGTTCCATGCTACTTTCGCGAAAGTAGAAAAGTTTCCATGATTCTTGAATGGTATCGAGCGACACGGTAAAGTAGGCAATTATTTTTTCTACCGTTTGCATGTGACAAATCGAACAAAAACACCTTCTTGCCTTTATAATTAATCATAAATTTTTATATTTCATTTGAACGTGCAATTTAACAAATTTCACTTTTAATCTTTTTTCAGGGATAGATAGAGATAATTAAATAGATAGATAGATAAATATAAAAAATAATAATCAATTTAAACTTTTGGAATTAAGTATGATCATAATCGATAAGAAAAACATTCAGGTTAGTGATGAATATACGTGAAAGACATAAAATTTTTTTACAGTCATAAAGTTGGACTGAAGTTCAATGATTTTATGATAAATACGAATAGGAAAAAGTAATAATCTAATGATAAGAATTATCTATAATGAAATACGAAAGTTCGTTAAGAAAAAGGATATCAAAGTAACGCGTGGTTAAATTCGAAATAATAGATGATTCGCGCGGGAGAAAGATGGCCGTTAGATGCAGAGGTATCTACGAGGAACGGGGTGTGTCAGCATTTTAACCCACTGTCCTCATTTTTGTGTTGCAGATAAGAATCGACCGACACGAAGAGCAGACTATGTTATTTCGGATAACGGATTGATCGCACCCGTCGCTTCATTCACACGTGAGTAGATAAATTTGAAAGAGAAAAAAAAGAGAAGGTAAAAAAAGAAAGAAAAGGAAAAAAAATCAAAGAAAAACTAAAATAAGGGAAGGGTAAAAAAAATCAATTGATAAAATTGATTGAAATAATTGATATATACGTGCGTATATACATATACATATACATATATAATATTGGATACACTGAAGGAGAATCGAATAATCCCAGTTTTATACACAAATATATATATATATATATATATATATATATATATATATTTCTCTCTTTCTCTTTGACTGAAATATAAATGAAGCATCGTTATGATCTCGACAGAAATGTTCTCTTTAGCTTCTCCGACCAAATATTAATGAAAAAAGTTCGTTAGTGAGCTCACGAGACTGCAGTTTCTCTTTCTCTCTCTGTCTGTCTCTCTTTTTCTCTTTCTCTCTTGCTTTCGCGGGAAAATCAATGTTTCCAAGCGTCGGACGAGTTTCGCGAGCTTCGCCATATGTGACTTTGCCATGCTATTCGCTTCGTAACTCGACTATGTTCCAAAAGAACGATGAGCTGGCAATTCGATTCATTTTATAGCTGTACGAGTTAATCGACGTAGGAAACTTCCTATCGAATGTGTATATATGTATGTATGTATGTATTACATATATATATATATATATATATATCTATATATACATATATGTAAATATATTGCGTGAACGAGTTTCAAAGGATGATGAGGTGTATGCTTGGAAGTAACTTTTTGCGAAAAACTTTTCCAACGTCGTTTGATTGTTAACCACGTGGCGTCTCGCACGAGACTAGATGTGAAAAATAAACAAGAAAATTTTTTCGTTGGAACAATTCTACTAAAAATAATTGTGAATTATTCAATTAGAGAAATGTCTATATATTTTGGAGACATTGCAAGAGAAAGAAAGATATTAATGATTAAAAAAAAAATTTTTCCGTTGTCATCTATTTCCATTGATGTGAAAATCTATTAGAAAAGATTCAAAAATTATTCGATTTAAAAATTCTCCCCCCCTTTCTTTCTGTTTATCTTTCTATCATTTCGTACGGAAGTTATATAAAAAAGAATTTTAACAACAAATATATCCTTTAAAAATCTATTAAAAGAATTGAAAAATTATTCGCGAAATTTATATGAAAACAAAAAAAGTTTTATGTATACTCTACTTTTAGCGGATAGGGAAAATAAAAAAAAAATAGAAAAAATAAACGAAAAAATATCTTTTTTCTTTTTATAGGTCGGACATGAAAAATCTTGGTTCGCGTTGGACGGTCCCTGACATAGCACGCACTGCTGCAGCGCGTTCGTCATTTCTCGTGGCCATTTCGTCGGAACGAGATTCAGGTAGTATCAGCAGCAGCAGCAGCAGTAGCAGCAGCAGCAGCAGCAGCAACAGCAACAGCAACAGCACCAGCATCAATAACAGAAGAAGGAGCAGCAGAAGCAATATCAACAACAACAGTGTTAGCGAGATAAGAAGGAAAACATATAACAAGAACATCAGTATCAGGGGAAGAAGAAGCAACGAGATCAGAGGGAAAGCTCGCTGTAAGTGCGAGCTCGTGATTGCCGGGAAATCGGAGGTCGTCGAGGTGCTGCAAGGAGGTGCGTTTTTATCCGTCCGATCTAACGTAACGGCGTCGTTTAATCTTATCCACGGAACGAGGAGTTCCGACGTATCGACGCCGAGGAATCACCGGCCCTGGAATCAAGACAATTGTCAGCAGCACCAACAACTGGGTCTCTGTTTTTACTCTCCTACTTCTTCGTGGGACGAGCACACACGGCACTTCAGGAACTGTTAGCACCGATCAAAAAGTAAGTAATACATTTAAGGTTATCAAAATGGAAATAAAGAAAAAAAAAAGAACAAAAACTTTCGATCAAATTGGTCAGCAGCAAGTGTATCTTACATCATCATCACCGTCGTCATCTTCATCATTATCATTATTTTCATCGTCAATGTCATCGTCATTTCGTCTTCTTAATCTTATATGTGCAGGAAGGTGGCAGGAAGCTGTGCGCAGCCTAGACAATGTCCGAAGAGTCTGACTCTATAACAGAGGAAGAAAGAAGTTTGTTCCGTCCGTTCACGCGGGAGTCCCTGGCAGCGATCGAGGCTCGCATCGCCGAGGAACATGCCAAGCAGAAGGAACTCGAGAAGAAGAGAGCGGAAGGAGAGGTAATTCGATCGTATCGCCGATTTCCACTTTCAGATATATCCTTTATTTTATTTTATTTTACTTTATTTCCTTTTATTTTTATGACTATAGTTCGGGGTAATTACTCGTATTCGATCGGTTCTCATGGTCATTCTCGATCCCTTTTCTCTGTCTCTTTTTACCTCTCTCTCTCTCTCTCTCTCTCTCTCTCTCTCTCTCTCTTTATCTATCTGTTTATCTATCTATTTATCTAATTATCTCTCTCTCTGATTCTCTGATTTTT